ATTACAGTTTTTCATGTAGAATTTTATTCTTTTTCAAATGTGCTTTTTAATTATAATAATTAATGATAAATTTAAAAACTTTTTTAAGAGTAAAATTCACTTTGAATTTCATAAAAAGTTTGCAAAAAAAAATTATTCTCTCCCCTTCTACCTGTCTGTTACAATTTTTGCTTTATGCTTTTTGCTTATTTATGCATTCTTGTAAATGTTCCAATCATGTAAACTGTTTACGTTACACCTGATCATCTAAAAATAGCTTTTTTTTATTTTTTATTTTTATTTTTTAAACGATAAATTTTGACTCTTTCTGCTACCATGCCAAGACCAAAAAAAGAAAACAATAAAAACCAACAAAAACAACAACCTTGCTCTCGCTCTGGTACTCCAGAGCAACAACCAAAGAAAAAATAAAACACCTTACAAACTGTTAAACCCAAAAGCAGTATGTCCAACAACAGCAACGACGAAACTCCACTTATGGACATCGACCCTCTTCCGCTTGATAAAGGAAAGGGCAAAGAAGTTTTACAAAGTGAAACAACTATAGTTGTCACTACAGAACAAAGTGAAATGAATGTCGACAATGCAAACGATGCCTCTGAAAATTTTTTGAACAACAAAAAGAGCCCTCAAAACATTTCTACAAAAAAAACGAAATTTTTCACTTTCTTTCCAACAGACGATTATCCTGGAACATCCGCTCAAACAAAAGTTTCTGACGTTACGGACCTCGTGTTTGATAGATTTGATTCTTTCTCAGGTGTCATCTTAGCCAAACATCCAGAAGACCAATCAAAAAATATACTCAAGGCGACATTTTCCGACAAAGACGAAAGGGACGCGTCTGTAAGGTCATGTTACCTAAATTAGAAAATCGCACGTTTTTGCCCCTTAACATCACACCAAAACATCCGTTCATGCTACAACAATCAATCAAAATTACAGAAATTCCATTGGACGCAACGGAAGTAAGAATTAAGAAAATCTTTTTCCGATTTGAAAAGATCGTCAGGTTCACCATGGAAATAAAGAACTTATGGCAACAAGCCACAATTACTTACGACAATGATGCCACCTTCACAGAACTTCAAAAGGGTTATGGTGTTTTCATCCTCAATGATATGGTGCGATTTCATATGTGTGACCTATCAAGGGATCAAATATTAAAACGTTCAAAGTTTTCAGCTAAGCTCACATGCCTTTCACATTACACTATGGGTAAAGATTTATCTGAGCTCAGATTAATGACTAACGCGATAACATGAATCATCCCTAAAGCTAGATCCAACTACAACAACCTACAACATACCTTTTTCTACTTCACATCGGCGGATGATCACGAAGCAGCAATCAGTAATAATAACCTCACGATCAATGGTAAACACGTGGAATGGATAAGTAATAAACAAAACTATGCGCTATTTGTTCCTCCTCTCATCACAAAATAAGAGATTGCAATAAAAAACGAAGAACACCCAATGACAGAAACACACAAAATTTATACCAATGCTTCCAGCCCGCTCAATATAATAACTATAAGGCTCCGTCTCACCCTAGACGAGGAGCGGTAAGTCCAAATGTGACTTTTGCTGGAATTGTCAAAGGAAGACAGGAAGAAAAACCTGCATCTCCAACGAAGGCTAAATTTGGTATCTCTTACAACGAAGATGGATCCTTTGCGTTAAAAGGTCCGAATAATACACCACTCCCTCCTGGGCTGACGACGTCCCATCTGATATGGAATTTATTGACAATACGCTTACTCCAAGACAATCACGTGATATAACCGCTGGTACAAAAACTGGAGGCTCTATGCATGAGAAATCTAATGAAGAGGCCGATTTCAAAGCATTTATCAAGGAAAGCTTTTTTCATCTAACTCAGAAACTCGAAGATTTCACAATTGCCATAGGTTCCGTTATGAAAAAAATGAATACTATAGAAAATACCCTTAATATTAAGGTCATAGCTCCAGATGAAAACATGGATGACTCAGATTTGGTATACGGTTATGACACTCCGGCTATTGATACATCCAATTCAGTTATCAACAAATAAAGATGCACTATTGAGGCCCTCAAAGAACTTAACGATGTCCAAAATCTACGGTTAAAGCATTTTACAGAAACGGTAAATGACTTGGTAAACTCGTGTAATGTTTTCTGAATGATTCTCGCTCAAAACAATCTATTACCAACAGAAAAAATGGCAGAAATATTGACCCTTAACACTAACTATGACATAACTCAGTGATGAGTTTTGGACATGTCCAATTGATTAATTAAATTGGACAGTTTTGGACAGTTTTGGACAAGTCCAAAAC